TCTACAGAGTCAAGGAGATGATTTGCAGCAGCTTCATGACTCCATCTATCAAGATTATCAGTTCGTCAGCTCTTTCAACAGCGTATCCGACAGATTAACCCGTAAAATCGTGAGGATTGTGCGTACTTAGCCTTGCGCATCTCGCCACGAGTGCGACGTGCTGCGAGGGATCTGGCCGGGCGAGCTCAGTTCAAGCCTGTGGAAAAAGGGTAGCGCAGTAGTCATCTTGACCGAGTCCGATACGCAGCACCGATGCCAAAGCCGCTCTGTAGTCTGGCTAGACTCGAGTCCAGTAGCACAAAGGGTTATGCAGTACAGGGCAAGGAGTCGATTTTGAGGCAAGGCTTGAGGTGTTTTTGTGTTGAGGACTCGCCAGATGTCAAGCACAACACTTGTGCCGCAGCGCTGTTCGCGGACTCCTTCGATTATCGTCTGCTTGCATGTACAGTATACATCTCAAGTTGACCGTTGCATACCGTTGCACTTACCATATGGACATGACATGACTGGGCCGTATGAGACCAGGGCCAGCAGCTGTTCCCAACTCCCCAGAGACCGTCCCTCCGAAGCCTGGAATTCTTGCCGCACAACGAGCCTTTGTGTTCCCGAAGACAGGAAGCTGCTGGCTGGCGGCCCTGGCGTGCCGACAATGAGAATCGTGCGGCATGAGCACCTCGGCTGACAACGTCTCACATGAACCAGGCTGCACGCAAGTTCACTTTCAGGGAGTTGGCATGCAACGGGAGACTGGTTTAGACGGTGACAGCTGGGTCCGTTCACAACCAGCCGTCGCTTGCTTCTACGATGTCATCACGGACCTGCAACGTCTCATAAGGAAGACCCTGGGTCTCATCTCAGCGAAGAAGTCGGGTGGGGACGCAGCCACCGGAGACGTAATCGCTGCTTGCCCTTCAGATTCAGGGCCAACCTTAGGCGGCATCCTTCGCAGCCGGATCAATCCCGGGCACATGTCACATGTCGAGAACAGCTTGTTTCTGCAGTTTCTGCAGCATTGGTGAAAAGTTGATCGATCAACCTTCACGGCAACTAGCGCAGCTGTACCGCAGGCACGTGACGAAGCCCAGACAGCACTGGATAAACCTAGAGGCCTTTCAGCAGCCCCCTATACATAAATCCCGTTGCAAAGCCCCGTTATCAATTGTATATTCCATAAAGCTTATTCTAAGCCCCATAAAACCCAAGCATCCCTTCGAGGTCTTCTTTGACTGCCATGTCAGCCCCCGCGTCGGCTGGGAGCAGGCTTTCCTGAAGCAGATGCAGCGGAAAGGCCAAAAGCCCCGAACTTGTTTCTCCTATAGAGGGCTTATAGGGTTCAGAGTTTAGGGTCCGAGAGCTAGGAGTAGAGGCTCTATAGAGGGCTATAGGGCTTGTAGGGTTTGGGGGTCCGAGGGCGAGGAGTACGAGTCTGGGACTGAGATCTGGCCTCTGGGCTGCCCTATCGATCGGAAACGCCCCGGTCAGGAGACCATCGAACCATCGTTGTCCCCACCATCACCTCGCTGAATCCTGACACCTGGACCGGCCGGGTGTGACCAAGCATCTGAGCCCAGATGGTCACATAGTGCTTTGTAGAACAGAGTCACGAATCTTGTGACCCTGAATGTTGGCATGTGTCCAAAGTTTCGTAAAGGAGACATGAACAGTTTTGAGAGCTGGACGTGATTTGCAACACATACTGCAGCGATGGGCTGTGCATTGCAAGCCACATCTTTCGCAGGAAGGAGCTCGGCGGCAATGCCGGCGGCAAAACCTGCTTTATTTTGTGGAACAACGACTTCACCTGGCTGTGTCTTGGTGGGACGTATATGGCCGGGTACAGTACTAAGTGTGGAAGGACGCCCAGAGGTTGATCGGTTTAGTTTCGGGCAGTTTTCTGCTGTCTTAGAAGGGACAATGGGCTTTGGTTCGCCTGAGCTTTGTCGCCAACAGCGCCAAGAGCATATTCAGAAGGACAACCAAAGGCACAGGTCGGGTTGCCGGGTCCAGCGAGAGGAAAGGCTACAGTAGCCGAGCTGGATGGAGTTGACCCCTCCCACCATGAATGAACGAAACTATTTTGAAAGGACTTCATGAGTCAAAGACGTGGGCAATCTGTTTGAAAATTGAGATCTCCCCTCACTCATTTTTGGCTTTCGCATATGTGCTGCCTTAATGAGTCAAGGTATAACCCCGGCCGTGATGCACCGTTGATGAGCGGTGGCCTCCTTGCACTGTCTCGAAGGCACCGTTGAGTCGTTGAGGGTTTCAAGGGCTGCGGTTTGTAGGCTCTCTCTCTCTCTCTCTCTCTCTCTCTCTCTCTCTATATATATATATAGAGATACGGTAGTCATTTGAAGGGTCATACAATGGCTTCAGGCTCAAATTTCGGACTTTATAAGGATTGAGGAATTGGACCCTTATACTCACGTTGGCGTTGCCGCTGTCTGTTAAGTAGCTGCACCGCCTTTGTTCTTGGAGGAGTCGGGACTTAGTTCAAGTTGGCTTCCTGTCATCGGTTGAAGCGTTGCCAGCTGTTGTACTCGTGCTGGAGCTGAGCTAATTCCTGACTAAGGCAAGTGTCCAGCTCGGCTGGCATCAAGTCTGTGAGGTCCGTAAGACTGGGCTTTCCAGAAGACAGTCTGCAGACTGTCGTTGTTGCTTTTGCCCGTGTCCTAGGAATGGTCTTGAATTGCTTGTTGCCTAGCTCGTGTATGGATGCGGACAAGAATAGTAGGCGAGTATGGGGCCGTTCTTGTTTGGATTTCGCCATGAGTTGATTTGCCACGTTGCATTTCCCCAGCATCCATTAGCAATCTTTCAGGTGGTGGGAAGAGACCGGCGGCTACGACACCAACATGGTCGCATGGGGCGGCGAGAGCCCTGTCCTACTTAAGCCTGAATCACTTTGAGCGCTTTCTGCTTTCTGCTTTGGATTGGTGCCTTCCTTGGAGACCTACCCTCAGCCAGTCGTCGACTGGCTGAAGGTTGCCGATTTAGACGCCGTGTTCGTACTTGACGCACTGGTCGGGCATTTCCCTCCAAAGTCCTGAATCAACCAAGCCAACCGCACGCCAAGCCGATGAAACTTTCGTTCTGAGGAACATCGACCAGTCTCTTCGCTCCTGGCTGTGTGGCGGGCGAATCGACGCTTGCCGCAACTGCCCATGCTGTCAGAAAAGAGTGATGCAGTGATGCTGCACTCTTCACGAAATTCTCGGTTTGTGCAAGTTAAAGAGCTGCATGCGACCAGAGATTGAAAGCTGGGTGAGGAAGTCGCTGATGGTGCCTATGTGGCGCACATGTGGCGGGATCCCAAGAATCCGCGCCTTGGACGTCAAGACATTTGTATGGACAGGTTGGACTGTCTCCTCCTGTCTCGACCTCAATGTGTTCGCGGCGTCGAGCTTCCATGAAAGCTTCTGCCCATTTCGTTTTGTTCTAGACCTAGTCCGTCTTTTCCAGCATCAGCGGGTTTCCTGGCGAAGATGACTGTAACCACTGGAGTTCCCGGCATTGCCTGCTCAGGAAGACGACGCTACGGTATCCGATCCCCACTCGGGACGTCATGCGGAATAAGGCCTTCGATCGCTTGATGACCCGAAGCCTCTCTTAAGGGCTCACGGGGTGGAAGGTGGAGTTCCTGGCCCACCTTTGGCAGTAAGCTCCCTAAACCCTAAACTACACCCTAAACCCGAGACCCTATAAACCCTAAACTAGGACTCGGTTATTCCGTTGTTATGGGTTAGCTATTTGGTTTTTGCTGTTTCTGATGTTGTGTTTACGGGGGTCGTGTGACGGTAAAACCCGTTGCACTCATGCTGGCCCATGTTGTTTTCCCTTTGGGGTGGATTGGTTCTTAGATTTGGTTACTGGTTCTGGTGCTTTCTTGCAGTGGGCTGTCATGTCCCTTTTTGACTCCGACTTCGCACCATTGACCTCGCCTGGCATGTCCGAGTTGTGAGAGCGTATAAACCCTAAACCCTGAACCGCAACACTTTCCAAAAACCCGCTTCAGCCTGGATTCCCGGAGGCGCGAGCAGCCACGGCCTGGTTTGGGGAGTTCGTTGAGAAAGTCATGACGTTTCCAGAGACTTCTGGCTAACTTCAGCCTTATGTGGGAAGCGTCCAGGGCTTATTTTATGCCCTCAGATGTTGTTGAAGGGCCGAGGGGCTTCGATGGTTTATGGTCCGTGCAGCCTCTTGGGTTTACCCGGCCCGTTTCAGAATGCACGCAGCCGCGTACGAACCCTTTGAATCTGCACCCAGCAACGTTTTTCCTAGCCCTTTTCTTGATCCAGCTTGATTCTTCCGCGGAAGTGGAATGCGTTTCAGATTGATGTTTTGTCAGAAGCTTCTGCTACTGCATGCTTCTGTCGAGTTGAAAAGTCTTGACAATACTAATGTTACTAGTGATCGCAACTTTTGCTTAAATCTGCTATCCTGAGTGAGAGGATGGTTGCGACAAGCCTGACTCCAGGTACGAGATGTTCACCAAAAATGGAGAGAGCATCGGCGGCGTGGCGCAAGATTTCGTGCAGTTTCTGGCTTCAGTGCTGGGGCTGATTCCTCTCCTCGCCGGGTTGGTTGGGCTCAGTACTGGGCTCAGTGCGGCTGAGCCCGTCGCAAATGGACTTTCAGTAGCTGCAAACAAGCCTAATTATGAGCTCTGGAGCTTGGAGCCCGACGGGGAAAATTACTGTAGCCTTTAGCCGGGACTGAACTTTCCATAATATGCTTCACAGCATGCTTTCCTCTCAGCTACGGCAGAGCATAGACTATACAATATGTATATATATATATATTTATAAGTAAGTGTGGATGCTTGGTGATGAGCATCCCCAGGAGACATGCGTGGCTTCCAGACTGTCAAGGACGTCCGTTGACGGCTAGACAATTGATTTTGCTCGTAGCCGTTCCTTCCCGTTTCAGTCTATATAGACGTAATGAGCAAAAATGACTTCAGGTGCGAGATCAGGCAATTTCAATTTCTTGCAACTTCGGGACGATTTAGGATCTCGGCGATGCGGGAGGTGATTCGGATGGTGGCGGTGTCGACAGCATTGTCGTCCTCCTTCTGGTTGTTGTCGGGTGGTGGTGGTGCTGACGCTGATGGCGGCCATGCCGAGCACGATGACAAGATGGTGCATGACTGATCATCGTTGGCACTTGTCAGTAGGTTCTCGCCGTCACATGCAGGTTGAACTGAGCCCCCGGTTCTCGACTGATTACTGGGGAGTTGATTTCATCATAGGCTCGCCTTGAAAAAGCTAGATTGTGGGCAAAGGTGGGTGCAGGAGACAAGTTAACTTAACTTGACAAGTGTTTCGTATATAGTCAGCTCCATCATTCACGAGGTTTCTTATCCTGCAAGATGCTGGTATTCAACTAGAGCCTCGATCATGTGCGCCCGCCCGCATCACCGACAACCAAATTCCAACTAATGCCGGAAGAAGCCCCGGACAGCTGAAAGGACAGACTGGGCTGTGCTCCGTTCACGAGTCCCGCGGCATCCATCAGTTGTCATTTTTTCTCGACGGGCTTCGGAGGCTTGAGTCCATCTGAGAACTAGCAGGAGGAGCTTATGGCCATAACACTACTGGGAGCAGGTAGCAGACGAGCATGTCCTGAAATATGGACTTCGCATCGATCGTGAGGGCTCATGCTTTGTCGATAGATGGTAGTACTGTATGGGTCTGTTTTGTGCAGGAGGCCACCAAACGCAGCCGTCTCTGCAGGAATTTCAGCATCCTTTTAGGGGAACACGTGATTGAAAATCCGAGGCTACCTGGATCGATTCTCGCGACTTGGGCTGAAGCTGTTTTTCGGCACAGTCGCACGGAGGATAGTGGGTTTCCATCGATGTCCATGTCATGAAGTCACATGTTTTCACATGCATCCAACGAAGGTGTGTTCGAGAATCAGCCGGTGCAATATCCAAGCATGGAGCGAGTTGTCGCATCAGGTGTCTGTCTACACAAAAAGCCCATGGCACTGGGGTCGACTCGGACAGAATGTCCTGTGACAGCATCCACCCTCCCGAAATCCAGAGCTTCCTTAATAGATCTTGCATCCAGCCCGACACACCTTCTTCCTATCCTCGAGCCTTAAAAACAGCATGGCGTGGTCAGAGACCGATGCACCTGAATCCCGAGACCCGCCCAGGTACATCTACCTGGATCACCTGAATCCCGAGACCCGCCCAGGTACATCTACCTGGATGGCGGACTAATCCCAGATCACGTCTTCCAGCTTCGGGAGCAGAAGACTGGACTCTGCATGCAGGTCGGGCCTTCATGTCCTTCTGCTCGCAAGTCTGAGTCTACGTCCACGCTAGCACACATGTTGCCAAGTGGGGCAGGCACCGTCATGAGGCAGGCACGAATGCAAACTGCATGCAAGCGCACACACCATGGATACATCCGTAGACAGCCTGGCAATGCGGACCTAGACCGAACTAAACTAACAGTCTACATGCATGCGAGCATGCCTGACGTGTGCTGTAGCCCGAGTAGCCACAACACCCCATTTGTGTAAATTCCATGTGCTGTCCGGCTTTGCATAGAGGTCTGAATTAACCAGTAGTAGCAAAGTTCCCGTACAATCATGGTATAGAGTGCCTCAAAACCCTATTCTGATTCTGAACATTCTCCGTGTCTCGTCGTAACCCCACCCTCTTTCCGCTGCACAGTGCTTGAAAATCAGTTCAACTTATGCGCACTTTGCAGGTCAAGCGGAATGACCGACAGCCCCACAACGTGGTGCTGGCAGCTTGCGCCGGACCCCATGAGGCCAAGACTCCTAGGTCACCATTGCTGCAAGTTCCGTTGTTTTCCATTGGACTGGACCTGAGAGGGATCGTTCCCTAACCCAACACCCCGTCAAAAATGGGTTGTGCAGGGGCCCGCACGGTCCCTGAAGGATTCAGGAGGACAGGAGCTCTTGCCAGCAGCTTTGGGCCCACAAGCCGGGCTAACCCTTATTAAAAAAAAAGCCTGATAGAAACCCCATGGCCCTGCAAAAAAGTCTAAAGCCTTGCGAGAGTCCGAAGCCTGAAACCCCGAGATATAAATCCCACGCCCGACACCCCTATAACAAACTCTAAAACAAACTCTAAAGCTCTAAACCCATCAGCCGTTTGTCATAGACTCCTTTACAAACCCTAAGCTGCCTGACAGGAGCATCAGTCCTCTGAGCTGCAGCTTTTCCACCGCGGGAATCGGGCAACTCACCCGCGATTTGGCCATGGGAGTCATCGTCCACAAGGGGGGGTGGGGTTTAGGGTTCCAAGGTGGGCATGAACCCTGCGAAACAGACTAGGTGCTTGGTGTATGCCATTCCAGACTTTTAGAGAGACAAGTCAGGATTATGTCACCACAAGTTGATGAGGACAGATTTTTGCAAACCCCCATAGCAAGCGCTCACGAACCAGATCCGAAGGTCTGTATGATCCGCTGGGGAACCGATGGCCTTTCCAGTTCGCACCATGTTAACTTAGTGTTGCTGCGGCTGAGATTTTAGATCTTACATGGACAGCATCGGCGGCATCACTCCAGACAAGAGGGCCCCTCATGCAAAAGCTGTTACCCTTTTTTGCTAGGTGGCAGGGATGTCCGATAAGATTTTGTGCTGCCATCCAAGAAGCAACAAGCAAGCAAGCATGAAACAAAGCGCTTCAAAAGGATGGATCGAAAAGGGGCAAGCCCTGCTGCAGCGGAATGATGCATTGGAACTTTCTGCAGTGCCTGGATGCGCAGAATGTCGGAACCCAGGCCTGTTTCGTGGTCGATTTCGAGTCCAGGATAAGTCGGCATAACATGAAACAGCGTTGATGGCAGTGAACTTGTCAGGGCGTTCGGTGAGGAATGCTCGTCAGGCGTTTCCGGGGTGGTTAGGTCTCAGATTTTGCCACCTGCGAAGAAGCTTGATATGTCTTGACTGGATTCTACGGATACAGGCTGTGACACGGACCCACTGTCGCGGTTTCCACCCAGCCTGTAGCCAGCTGATTTTGCCCTGCAGCTTTGTATCTACATGTTCCACATGTTATGGAGTTGGTCCTTGGCCTCCTGGTGCTGACATGAGCGGGGTTGGAGGGGAAGGCATAGCTGGTTCCAGCTAATAAGACTCGGAGGCCTTCCTGGAGTGTAGCTGCCGGAGAGCAGGAGAAACCTTGAGAAACCAGGAGAGTGAGCCGAGATACAGGAGCCACGACAGTCAGGGACACCAGGCTTGCAAAGTTCCTATGTAATGCACTCTAGTTGCGAAGACTTCGAACCCTCACTCCAGATGTATGTTCCGGCCACCATGTGTAGATGCCTTCAAATCTGAAACGCACTTGAGGAATCAACCGTGTTACTTGACCATGGGAAGTGATGGTATGAGATTGAAACGCCATCAGACCTGTTGCAGTCCCAGCGCTACAGAAGGAGCCATGGGTCCTGGCGGGTCTCACATTAGACCTCGACACCGGCTGCATCTGAATTTGAGAACACATCAATCGGGAGTCGGCCACAGGTGCGCACCTTCGAGTGTGAGATCGGCGGGTCCTCGTCACACCAGAAGGTCTTTCGGGTGTGGCTTTAGGGTGTAGGGTTTGTTGGAGGTAACCGAGCAAGACTCGGAACGTTTCTGGTGTTCAGTGGAGGTTTCGGAGGATGTTGGATTGCAAACTCTTCAGAAGAGACACTGCGCGTTTCGAAGGTTTCAAGACCTGGTTCACTGTGCAATCGCGAGGTGGAGCTGTCCGAGGATGGCCAGTTGCTGTGGCCGCTCAGCATGCAGCGCATATCGCCAGAGTGTAGAAAACGTGTGTACTTGACTTATCAGTGCATTTCTGGCTTACCGCTTGTGCAAATCATGAGTATAGCACGTACGGACTGACTAATTAAGCCTTCTAGCTATCATCTATATCGCAGCCGGGCGCAGGATCTTAAATGCTCTCCGAACAGTGCAGGCCACGTCTGTATGCGATGCTAAGAGCTCCGTGTTGCATGGTTCAGACTGCCATCCTTGCAGACTGTCACTTCCCGTGAAGCGACGGACATTTATCCAGATTACAGGGATACCCTGAGGTTATTACGAGGAACTTCACACTGACCCACTAGTTGTCACGCCGTCCGTGTAGTATGGGCACGAATCGCGATCTGGACTTATGAACTACACAAAGAGCAGGCCCCTCTTAAAGGAAGCATCAGTTAAAACCCTACATGGATCCCGATCTGATAGAATCAGTGATTGCCGGAGGAACTGGATGAGTTCGTGGGGCGGAGCACGTGGATGCTTCGCACCACAACCGCCAAAGGCCATCAAACGACCTTTGCACCTGAATACCTAAAGAGTCCGGAAGCCGTCTTGGAAGTGCGAAACCGAAAGGAAGGCTGTGCCGAGAGTAAGTGGAGCTATCAGGCATCAAACCTATTCGTTTGAAGGTTCCACATAGAGGTCAATTTACATTGGCTGTTTCTTTCATCCGGTTGTTAGTGTTGAGTGCAGGTGTAAGCGAGTACGTGCTCGGATGTTGGGTTGCTGGAGGATTCAGTTCAACTACGAACGTTGATGATTAGCAACTTCTCTGCCTTTTCATTGATTGCTTTGGAGGTTGGCAAAGCAGTGGTTAGCCGCATTGATGATTGCTCCGCTGCAGTGGAGCCTGCCGATCGGACTGCATGCAGTGATCGAAAGCTTGTTCTTATTACGACAGGGTCGCTTTCAATCTCAAGTCAAGTGACGGAGGTATTCATTCTACTTCGCTGCAAACGACAGGTTGCGTAATACATATATATATATATATGATTATTACTATTATTTATCAAAATACAATAGAATATAAGCTAATAGCATGTAAAATACAGAAATACAATGTAGTATAAGAATATGATACAATATAAGATCATAAGACCTTATGATGTAATACCATATAGCATAATGTTAATTACATTATATACAAACCAACAGTTACACACACATATATATATATGTATGTATGTATGTATGTATGTATGTATGTATGTATGTATGCATCTATCTGTCTATCTCTATATATAT